ACTCCAGCCTGGGTAACAAGAGCGAAACTCCATCCAAAAAAAAAAAAAAAAAAAATCATTATCCTCTCACTTACACAGCTGGTTTCCCTCTTGGGAGTAAATCTTTGTGAGTATTCATTCATATTAAAGACTGAAGAACTGAATTGGTTTTTCTTGATGGATGAGATGGGTATTTATAATAATAGCTACTCACACACTCTATCCTAAGTCCTAGCTGTGTTCATTGACACATTTAATGTGCACAATAGCCCTGTAGGGTAGAGCTTCTCTCATGGCCGTTTTACAGATTAGATGACTGAGAACCAGAGAGGTTAAGAAACTATCACCAGGTCACACAGCCAACAGGTGGTGGAACAGTAAAAAACCACAAAGTCTGACTCTAGAGCTTAGCTGTAGAACACAGAGGTGTCTCTTGGAAAACAGAGGTGAAAAATGTATCTGGTTTCCCATGTCACACTAGAGGCAAATTTTCTTTCTGCCAATATGTTCCTTTATGGTTCTATTTTTCCATGCCACTCCAAGATTAATAAATGCGTTCAACTGTGGGCCAGGTGCAGTGGCTTATGGCTGTAATCCCAGCACTTTGGGAGGCTGAGGCAGGCAGATCACTTGAGGTCAGGAGTTCAAGACCAGACTGGCCAACATGAAGAAACCCCGTCTCTACCAAAAATACAAAAATTAGCCAGGCATGTTGGCGTGAACCTGTGGTCCCAGCTACTCAGGAGGCTGAGGCACAAGAATCACTTGAACCCAGGAGGCAGAGGTTGCAGTGAACTGAAATCGCCCCGTGGTACTCCAGCCTGGGCGACAGAGTGAGACTGCATCTCAAATACACACACACACACACACACACACACGCACACATATATATGTGTACATATATTTAATTGTGATTTTCTTTAGGTGTTTATGATTTTAAAATATTAAACATTTGGCCGAGTGCAGTGGCTCACGCCTGTAATCCCAGCACTTTGGAAGGCCAGGGCAGGAGGATTACCTGAGGCCAGGAGTTCAAGACCAGCCTGGGCAATGTAGTGAGACCCTCCTTCCTGCCCCTGCACATCTCTACAGAAGATAGAACATTAGTTGTGTGTGGTGGTGTGGGCCTGTAGTGCCAGCTACTCAGGAGGCTGAGGTGGGCGGATCGCCAGAGCTGGGAGGTGGAGGCTGCAGTGAGCCGTCATCTCACCAGTGCTCTGCAGCCTGAGCGACAGAGATCCCGTCTCAAAAACCAAAACAAAAAACCAAAAAAAGTTAAACATGCAAAGCCCTGATGTTTTTTCTGCACAGGGCGGAGGAGGGAAGCCAGTTGTCCGATCCCTAAACCGCCGATGGACCTACGATCCCCACCTCCACTCTTAACTCGAAATGCCTTCTTTGCCAGACACCAGATCCTGCTCTTCACTTACACGCTTCTGTCTTTTCATGGATTCTGACGTCCGGGGCGGGCCCCCGCCGTGTGGGGTTTGATCCTTTACGCCTCACTGTTGGGTGGGGCTCGCTGCTGTCCATCACTCTTCTTTTCTACTTTTTGTTTGTTTGTTTGTTTGTTTGAGACAGAGTCTCGCTCTGTTGCCCGGCGCCAGGCTGGAGTGCACTGGCGTGATCTTGGCTCACTGCAACCTCCGTCTCCCGGGTTCCAGCAATTCTCCTGCCTCAGCCTCCCAAGTAGCTGGGATTGCAGGCTCACACCACCACGCCCAGATAATTTTTTTTTTTTTTTTTGAGACGGAGTTTCGCTCTTGTTACCCAGGCTGGAGTGCAATGGCGCGATCTCGGCTCACCGCAACCTCCGCCTCCTGGGTTCAGGCAATTCTCCTGCCTCAGCCTCCTGAGTAGCTGGGAATACAGGCACGCGCCACCATGCCCAGCTAATGTTTTGTATTTTTAGTAGAGACGGGGTTTCACCATGTTGACCAGGATGGTCTTGATCTCTTGACCTCGTGATCCACCCACCTCGGCCTCCCAAAGTGCTGGGATTACAGGCTTGAGCCACCGCGCCCGGCCTTTTTTTTTGTATTTTTAGTAGAGACGGGGTTTCACTATGTTGGTCAGGACAGTCTCGATTGCTTGACCTCATGATCCGCCCTCCTCAGCCCCCTAAAGTGCTGGGATTACAGGCTTCAGCCACCGCGCCCGGCCCTTATCTGCTTTTTAAATGGTTATTTACATATGTTATTCTTTCAGATGAATGTCAGAATCACTTTGTCAAACTACCTCAAAATCCTGTGGGACTTAAGATTGTATCAGTAAAATGATACATTATTTCCAGGAGAATCAGGGAGCACAGCTTAGTGGCTTCAAAAGTACAAACTGCTGTCTAAAAAAAAAAAAAAAAAAAGGAAAGCCAGGCCCAAGCACTTTGGAGGCCAAGGCAGGCCGGTGACCTAAGGTCGGGAGTTCAAGACCAGCCTGACCAAAAAAAAAAAAAAAAAAAGGAAAGCCAGGCCCAAGCACTTTGGAGGCCAAGGCAGGCCGGTGACCTAAGGTCGGGAGTTCAAGACCAGCCTGACCAACACCGTGAAACCCCATCTAAAAAAAAAAAACAAAGTACAAACTGTTCTCTCCCAGTCCGGCCCGCCACGAGTCCTAGCTGAGTCCCGCCGGGTGAAAACCAAGGTGCTGGCAAGGCCGCCGGGCCGCTCTGGAGGCTCCAGGGGAGAATTCACTTTCAGCTTCCCTGCAGCGGAGCTCACAGCGTGGGGCTGAGTCCTTCTGAGTCAGGACGGCTCCCGGCTGCCCCCTGTCCCCGCGTAGGGACCCTTGTGATTATACCGGGAAAACCTAGATAACCCAAGATAATCTCCCCGTCTTAAGCTCAGCTGATTAGCAGACTTAATACCATCTGCCATGTGAGATAACATTCCTTCGCCAGGTAAGAATGCAGTCACGGCTCCAAGAATGAGCACGTGGACATCTTTGTGACCTATCACTCTGCCTACAGACACATCCTGCGTTTTCTTTTCTGGAGACAGTTGTGCTCTGTCGCCCAGGCTGGAGTGCAGTGGTGCAGTCTCGGCTCACTGCGACCTCCACCTCCCGGGTTCAAGCAATTCTCCTGCCTCAGCCTCCTGAGTAGCTGGATTATAGGCAGCTGCCACCATGCCTGGCTAATTTTGTATTTTTAGTAGAGACAGGTTTCACCATGTTGGTCAGGCTGATCTTGAACTGCTGACCTCTCGATTCCCCCGCCTTGGCCTGCCAAAGTGCTGGGATTATAGGTGTGAGCCACCATGCCTGGCCTCTTTTTTTTTTTTTTTTTGAGACGGAGTCTCACACTGTCGCCCAGGCTGGAGTGCAGTGGCACAATCTCGGCTCACTGCAACCTCCGCCTCACAATTCTCCTGCCTCAGCCTCCCAAGTAACTGGGATTATAGGCACCCGCCACCATCCCTGGCTAACTTTTTGTATTTTTAGTAGAGATAGGGTTTCACTGTGTTGGCCATACTGGTCTCGAACTCTTGACCTTGTGATCCACCCACCTTGGCCTACCTAAGTGCTGGGAGCCACACGCCCGGCCACATCCTGTGTTTTCTTACTGAAGAACAAGGTTCTCCATTCAAGTCTTCTTTCATGCTCCTTATTAATTTTTTAGTTTTCTTCATTTAGGCCTCACAGGTACCTTGTGAATTTCACTCTTGTTATGGATAACATGTGCTGGTGTCTGCGGGCCATGATACTTCTCTCTCTCTCTTTTTAATGTATATATATATATTGTTTTAAAGATGGGGTTTCACCATATTGGTCAGGCTGGTCTTGAACTCCTGACCTCAGGTGATCTGCCCACCTCAGCCTCCCAAAGTGTTGGGATTACAGGCGTGAGCCACTGCACCCGGCTAAAATATATATTTATTTTTAAATATAGACAGGGTTTCACTGTGTTGGTCAGGGTGGTCTCTATCTTTTGACTTGGTGATCTTCCCGCCTCAGCCTCCCAAAGTGCTGGGATTACAGGCGTGAGCCACCGTGCCCAGCTGCCACTGATACTTCTCATGCCACGTTTCCCTGTGGCTTTGTGGCACACAGAAAAGCCAGTTCTGCTGGACATTAATTTTGTATCCACTTGAGCACTCGATTGATTTGTCCGCCCAGCTTTCAGTTATTTTATTTTGGTTTTCCAAGTATATAATCACATTTTCTAAAAATAGTAACTTTTCTCCTTTGCAAATGTATTCTATTTACACTTTGTATTTCTCTTGCCTATTTGCAAGGAATTCCAGAACCACGTTAAATACTGGTTGTCAGGAGCTACCATAGGAATGCTTGTGGAGTTTCACCAGTGACGTGGGCCTGACTTTTGGTTTAAGGGAGTTCACGTTTTTCTCCTATTATGGAAAGCAGATGATTTTAAACACAAGATAACCCAGTGTGCTGTTTCCACGGGGAGAAACGGAGGCCAGTCCTGACAGACACCGTCGGGAGCCTGCGTGTCGCCGTGGGTGCGCGACGTGGGGTGCGGCCCGTCTGGGCGTGAGCGCCGGTGCCCCGCTCCCCTGCAGGGCCTGCCCGCCTGTTCCGTTCCTTTCCTCCCCGCCTCTGTCCTGCGCACCCACCCCGGCAGAGGCAGGACGCTGCCCGCAGCGCCCAGACCTCCCGTCCCCCCGCAGGATCAACGGCCACCCGGGGAAGTCCACGCGCCTGGCCGGCTTGTGGAAGCTGGAAGAGGTCAGTCACCCCGAGGCTTCACGCCGCGCCCCTGGGCCACCCTGGTCCCCTGACCGCCCCCCAGGACCCCTCCCTGACGCCCCCGACCCCGCAGTGCCACGCCAGCGGCTGCATGATGGACCTGTTCGTGCAGATGGCCATCATCATGGGCCTGAAGCAGACGCTCAGCAACTGCGCGGAGTACCTGGGCCCGTGAGTGCCGCCCCCGCCCGGCCCGGGAGCCCCGGCCCCTCCGCCCCGCGCCCTCCCCACGCTGTCTCGCCCGCAGGTGGCTGGCGCACAAGTGGCGCTCCAAGCAGGCCTCTGCGCCCGCCCGGGACCCCGAGCTCGGGGACTGGCAGCGAAACTACCTTCTGAACCCCGTCAACACCTTCAGCCTGTTCGACGAGTTCATGGAGATGAGTGCGTGGGCGCTGCGGGGCGGGGTCCCGGGGACGGCGCGTGGGCGCTGCGGGGCTGGGTCC